GAATTTCCAACCCCTCAAAAACTATCCTTGCTATTTGGTGAGTCAGCCATTAATCTTCGGCTGCCCCTGATCTCATCTCTACAGAACATGTCAAATTTAGGACTGCCTTCCTTTTAAAAGATAATGCTGTCAGCGCCGCAGAAATATATAATGTAGAAACGCCTTCAGCTGTATGTCATTCGTACTTGGTGCAGCTTTCCAGTGTTTGCTCTTTTCTTAAAGAGAGAAGGTCCAGGAGGGAAGCAACAGGCACCAGTGCTCTACAGAACAGTTACTCCGTGCCTGGATATGTGATATCTCCTGACATCACACCAGTACTTCCTGTCTCTTTCTGGGCTCCATTTCAGCATTTGCTGCTATCGTTGCAGATAAAATAAACCATTTGCTCTTTCATCTGGGGACCACATTGCACCAATTTCCAGTCTGCTAAAATGGTTCAAGATGCCTTCGTCTCAGCTGTCCCAAAGGCAAACACTCCTTTCGAAGCCTGTGAAAAACCTGGTGCGCTGCCACCCCCACCCCAATGGAGTATTGTTGTTTTCTCTCTTGTTGCTGTTTGGGATGCCATCTAAGTTCCGTCATGAGCATTAATACACCAAGCCAATAGTGCATCTTATTTGGGAGTCTGTTGTTGTAATCCCACATTCCATTTAAAGTTATAAAGAATACCAGCACCTTTATAGCACACATGCATATGTACATTAAAAACTTACTGGAGGAATGGAAAATGTACCAAATTTTAATGTCAAAAATGGACAACTGGCAGCTGTAACTGGATAAGGCTTCAAAGTGATTTTACTCAGCCTCTAGTGACCCTATCAAAGACCTTTTCAAAAACAGATTCCCATCCATTTATACATTTTTATGCAATATGTACATAAGGATATTTTTGTGTATTGAGCACATGTGCTGTTTAATGGGCAAGCTTTACTGCTGGCTAGTGCCAAACTTATTATGAAACTAACCTTTTCCAGTCTGGATAACAGAGTGGCTGTCAGAATACAAAAATGGACCATCTTCATTTTAGAAGAAAATGGTAATAGACCTGTTCAGATACGCTGAGGTTTTTAGAAACAGGCCCAGATTGGGGGTGGGGGTAGGTGGGGGGAGGAAGCAGGCATGTGTCCCAGGTAGCAGGTCGGGTGTGTGTGTGGGAAAACAGCATCCTGCATAGAAGAGAGAGGAGAGAGGCACTCCACAGGCCCACAGCACATGCTATGACTCCTTATGTTCTGGTCATATTCTGCTGATTAAAAGGTGGCTGGCCGGCCGCCCATCTCTTCTAAAAAGTGGAACCCAGCTGGGAATGTTAAGGAGTTACTGAGCATGTGCTGTGGGCCTATGACATGTGTCTCTCCTCTCTCTCTCCCACACTACATCCAGTTGACAGTGCCTTACACCCCCTTTATGCTCTTATGGAACCAGCAGGCGCATACAGGAGACAGATGCACTGTGGCTGGCTACAGCCCACCTGCCTCATCTTAAAAGAGGTGGCTGGCTGTGGAAAGACCCGTCCACTTAGCTGTACGAGGATGGGTGGGTAAGGTATAAAGGGAGGAGAGTTTAGTCAGGGGTTGGAGAAGGGTAGTTGGCAAAAGTGTGGTGGGTACATGAGGTTGACGAGTGGAGAGATCAGGGGCAGCAGCCCTTAATGTATATATATCTCAAGATGCTATTCCCTGATCATGTTCTCTTTATCTACTTTCTTTGAATTATATTATAAAAGATGAGGATCTAGAAAACTAAGATGCTTCGCAAATCCTCTGGAACTTCCTTACTGATTTTTGTTTCCGTTTCTGACATTTTGTCCCTGATATCTTTGGGGGTTTTGTCATCTTGTTTGTGCTACTTAAAGCAGACTGTTCCTTAAAGAGCTCTCTAGGGATTAAAAGGATCCCCCCCCCCCCGGAACAAGCAAATTTATAGCACTGCTTTTGCTATAAAAAGACTCAAGTTCAGTAGAACTCCACATCTTCAAATACTGATATTTTAGTGTTCACTGTTTTTGACATCTGCTAAAAACCTTTTTGTCTAGGCAAGACATGTAATTGTATTTCGTACCTGTTTTAAAATTCATTGGTTGTCTCTAATTGCAATATACCTATGCAGTGCTTAGAATGAATTAGTTCAGTTTAAGAAATTTAACTGCATTGGTTCAAAAATTAGTTCAAAAATATACTATACCTGATAATTGCCTGGTGAACTGAACAAGTTTGTTTGGGGGTAAAACTTTGACAAACTTCATAAAACTATTGGCCTAAAGCCTGGATAAATGAAAAAAGGCTTTACAAGTTTCCTGAGTGCAGGTAAAGAGGAGAACATCCTGATTTCCCCTGAGAGAGAGTTCCATAGCCACACTACCACCACTGAGAACGTCCTATCTTAGGTCCCCATTCTTCATCCTACAGCTGTTGAGAAGAACATGTGTAGGGCTTCTCCCTCAAACTGCAAATTTCTGACCAGTACCTTCTTTTAAGTACCTGGCTTGCAAGTTATTTAGGGCTTTGTGAACTGGGCTTGGTAGCTCACAGGCAGCCAGTGCAAAGTTGAAAAATATATACATCAAGGAAGATATATGCTGAAGAACTGAAGAGCTAGAGAATGCAGCCTTCAATAAGGTTAAAACAACCAACAACAACCAAGAAGATCCATAAAATGGAATTGTGTTTCAGGTAGCATTTGATGGGATGGGGCATGTCGTTCTCCATAAATGATGTCAAGTACTGTCATGAGATGACTGTGACGCTTGCCCAACCACATTACATATCGTACTCGAAACTGCAGTGGCCCCTCAGCATTTCCCCAGAACAATATATTGTGAGTCAAATGCTCAGAGAATGCAATACACACCAAACGGCCATGCTTCTTCAAAGGAAAACATGCAACTATTGAGCAATGACACTCCTTTTAAAAAAGGACCAACTCAAGAAGCTCTTTGACAGTTTTTATAAGCAAGCAGCTCAGCTGATTAGCAGCTCAAATGCACAGTGCGGTGACTAGAATGTCAGAAAGGAAGTCCTGAGAAACTTTTGAAACTGCTCATAAATTTTCCCAAACCATAAGATTTGCCTGCTTTCCTTATGAAAAACGAACAAGGGTGCGGCATGGCAAGAACTGTTTGCAAATTCTAGTTGCAAATCCAGAGTTCAACACAAGTATCTCAGGTATGGATGACATTGATGCTTTCCGTCATCCATCACCATATTCAGAAGAGCTTGCTCGCTATATTGTGACATTTTGGTTGGTCTTAATGCCCAAGTATTGCCTGACTATGAGTTTTGGAATTTCACAGGATTATTTCATACATTATGCATATCTGAGTCAGCCATTGAGCCAGCCAAACCTGGGCTGTACCGGTAAAGAATGTACTTGTATGACATGTGTGTGTTTGTTTGTTGCATTCACAGGACCCTAGGTAGATACTAATGCCAGTGTACTGGAAGAAGCAAAGATCACCAGTGTCAAAGCAATGATTCTTCAACATCAGCTTCGTTGGACTGGTCATGTTGTGTGGATGCCTGATTAATGTCTTCCAAAGCAACTACTGTACTTTATTCAGAACTTAAAAATGGAAAGCATAATGCTGGTGGTCAACAAAAGAGGTTTAAAGACTCTCTCAAGGCAAATCTTAAAAAATGTAGTATAAACACTGACAACTCGGAAACACTGGCCTACAAGTGCTCCAACTGGAGAACAGTCTTTACCAAAGGTGTCATGGGCTTTGAAGACGCTCGAACTCAGGACGAAAGGGATAAATGAGCTAAGAGGAAGGCACACTTGGCAAACCCTCACCATGATCAGCTCCCACCCGGAAACCTATGTCCCCACTGTGGAAGGACATGTGGATCCAGAACTGGCCTCCACAGTCACTTAGGACTCACTGTTTAAACTGTGTTTATGGAAGACAATCTTACTCGGCTACGAGTGATTGCCAAAGAAGAAGAAAGCAAGCAAAATTCACAGTGGTGTGTGCATATTGATAAATCTTGCACATTCTTCAGGTAGGGGAAGAATGCACATCCTCAATATCCAGCAATGAATGTGCTTCGTTTCTCTTCCAGGCAAGGCTGGCCCACCCATGAGGCAACATGAGGCGACTGCCTCAGGTGGCACAGTATCTACAGGGGCAGCAGACCCCGATGTTGTAGATCTTTATTCCCCTCCCTTGTTCCTGGTGTAGCTCTTCAGTCACCCCTTCTTCCCATGGTTTGGTTCACCTCAGATGCCGAATTGTCTTGCTTCCAAGCCTCCATCAGAAAAGAGAACCGCACAGTATGCTAATTTGCGGAGGGGCCTGAAGATGGATGGCTAAGCGGCCTCCTCTTGGCCCGCTATCAATCGGAAGCAGACGATGCTGAGGCACATGAGTCCCACTCGGGCCTGTGAACCATTCCACAAGCTCTATTGTTCGGCAGAAAAAGAAAAAAGAAAAGCCTTTCAAAGGAGCTTGTAAACAGCGGCTCCGCCCAGCAAACAAAGCCGCCCTGTAGCAAAACGTTGTCTCGGCGATAAGGAGCTGGGCAAAGCCCACCGTGGTCACCCCCGTCAGAAACCCCCACCCCGCACGGCCCTTCCCGGGGAAGGCTAGGTGCCAGCGAGCGCGGGGTGCGGGGTAGGGGGGCCAGGGGAGGCCTGGCGCGCGCAGGGATTTTAAGACGTGGAGGCAATTTTAAGGCACAGGCCTCTCTCTTCTTTAATAAAAACATGAGTCAGCGGCTGGCGTGGGCAGCGGATTTTCTAAACATCCCCTCATATCCTGAGAAAGGGGAGAGCAGAGAGAGGAGGGAAAAGACGGGAGGGGCGGAGAGGGGAGAAAGAGGCCAGAATCGAAAGGAGGCGCGTTCACACGCACACACAAACAGCAGCGTGTGAGGGAAGTTTCACGGTTTAATTCGTAAAAAGTCCAGTCATGAATTAAAACGCGCACGCTTTTGGTGCCTCTTGTTTTTATTTTGTTTGGCGCCTGGAGCTTTCCCAGAGGCTCCCCTCGCCTTCGGCGACTGAAGTTCTGCTGGTGTCTGTCTCCTCGTACCCCACCTTGGGGCCGACGGAGTTGTTTGTTGTGTCTACCCCACTGAAGCGTCTTTGCGTCTTCCCTCTGTCTTTCCCAACAAGAAAGAAGAAGCAAATCGATTCAGCCTTATTCCCCTGCCCTACATCTTTCTTTGCGAGAGTGGACCAAAAAGTTTGAGCCAAGTAGAAGTTCAAGCACGCGCGCACACCAGTCGTGGCATCTTGTTCTGAAGGAAAATAGGAAAAAGGCTCCGGAGCTGCGAGAAAGCCGCGGAGCCTTGGATGCTGGCGAATGCTCTGGGGGGTAATAAAATGCGCTAGAGGCACCAGCAAGGCAGCCGGCGCGCTGGACAGCGGGGACACCCCACCCCCACCCTCGCCCAGTCCCGCCTCTCCGGGCTGCAGACGACTCTCCCTCCCCTCAGGCTCTGCAAAGGGCTGCGCAGCTCAGCCGAAGGAAGCTGGGGTCGCGTACTCAAAGCAACGGGGGAAACTTCAGGAGAAGGATAAAAGAGAGAGGTGAAAGTCCCCGCAAGTTCCGGGCGCGATCTGGCGAAAGCCGTCCTGCCCCCTCTGCGAAGTAAGGTAAGCGCTAAGCGGTCTCTCTCCTTCGCTCCCAGCAGCTCGCCTCCTTTTCGCTTTTCCAGTCTGCGAATGGAAACTCTCCTTTAACAAATCCAGATGTGGAGAGCCCGCAGCCTTGTTCCTTTTCCCCATGACAAGTTTCCAAAAGGCCAAACCCAGCCAGTTTCCTTTGCAGACGCCTGGATCCTTCGCCTGCATCTCTCGCTTTCTTTCTCCGCTGCCTTCCCAAGGCGCCGGGCAGAGGGGATGCGGTGCAGGACCTCCCCACCGCCCCCTTTGCTGCTTCAGGGGGGCTGCCTCTTGCAAGAGGGCCGGAAAGGAGCTGAACCCCTCAGCCCAGCCGTCACAAGGAAGACGGTTCCGGGGATTGAAATGGGGCTGTCTCCTTGCCTAGCCTCTTCCTCCCCACCCCAAACTCCTGGGATGCCCCTCTATGGACGAACTGTTCTCAGCATCCTGCAGGCTCCAGAGTAGAGCCGGGTGGGGAGGAGGAAGCCTGTTGCTTCTTGCAAGGTCTGGTAAGGAGAGCTCTGCAGCAGTGCTCCTGCATCTCCCTCGCTGTGCTGTGTGTTGCCCATCTATCTATCTGTGCAAAGGATCTAAGTTAGTTCTAAGCTATGGGATGCACAAAGTGCTATTATTGGGTCTGTCTTTTTTTCCCTTTTTTCTTTAATCAGCAGAAAGAGAATGCCTGTGATCCTGATGCCTGAAAATAACTTTCTGATGCTCAAAACTTCTTGGAGCTTAGATTCCTGGGGTGGATGATGGATTGATTGGACAGAGAAGGAGAATCTTTCCCCATGACTGCCACTCTAACATCCGCAAGGAACATCTGTCTTGCATCAGAACAGGCTGTTTGTCTGTTGAAAGATTAGATTCTAACCCATGTCTGGGGTTAGAACTGTTTATCATTGAAGAGTTGCAGAGGGGTCGTAGCTCACCATTGGCAGGAACTCCCCAAACCTGTAGGTGGGAGGGTCAGCAGATGTCAGTTGGACTAGTAGTGCACAATCAAAACGTGGTTAAGTGCTGATTTGGACACTTTGTTTACTAGCTGGAAAGATAACAAACAAATTTCTTACACACCCTTTCACACAAGAGCAAAAGCACCAAGCACTTTAAAAGATCTTAAGCAAAGTAGAAAGGAGGGACTCTCCTGCGCTTGATGTTACCTGCACTGGCAGAGAGTTTGCCTGGATGTTATATGCGCTTCCAATGCTGCACCAAATGTTACTATTACCTTTATGCTAAAAGCTGGCAAAGCCATTGGTCAATAACATTCCCCTCCCCAAATAACAATAGGTTGTTTCAATCAGTAGAAGAGCTCCTTTGGGAGGAAGGGTGGGAAACAAATTTAATAAATAAATGGATAGGTTTCCTTCACTATATCCTGTTTTTGGTGACTTTTCATAACCACAAGTCTACCTGAAACTGATTGGCACCTCCTTCGTAACCACAAAATGTTCTATCACGCTTTGTGTCTGTCTTGTTTTCTGTTCCAGCAACAGCTAAAATACTTCTAAAAGCCTCTCACTTATGCCAATATGATTTTCTATGCCTACAAAATCTAATAAGCTTATATATAGGCATATATGTTGGTGCAAAATGAATAAAGCCCATTCTTGTGCACTCTGGAAGTATCTCGCCATGGTCTCTAGGCAGAAAAGTATTCCATGTTACTTGCTTCTTAAGCTTTCCTTCCTTCCTTCTCTATTTTCAGAGGAACCATGACTCTACCTATGGTTCCTTCCCGACATCTGCAGTTCTTATACATGGGACTAAAATTCCACTAAATGAACTCACACACTGGTGCTTCTCAAGGTGTAAGACAGATACACTGGGCAGTAAGAGACATCACCTGTTGCTGTCATACCTTGCATCTCTGTGCAAGGAACTAAACTACTTTAAGTTTTAGGGAAGAGGCTGTAGCTCGGTGGTACAGCACACGTTTTAAATGCGAAAGGCGTCAGGATCAGTTCCTGGTATCTTTAGATAGTGCTGGACTCCTGACCCCAAACCCTGCTTTCCAAAGGGCCAGTGAGCGTTGTCGACCCAATAGCCTGACTTGCTGTATAAGGCAGCTTCCTATGCCCTTTTGCGAGTCCCCCTTCTTATTTATTTCTGCTGCAGCCACTAGAAAAATGCCATATACTTCTTATATTATTGTTACTCAAAAGAAGGTTTGGACTAGAGTTCTAATAATTCGCAATTGCGCATCTCTACAACCCAACACTGATGTAGATACTGTAGACAACTTGCTTCTGCTTAGCATGATCATTTTTACTGTTTTCACAGTCAACAATCCAAAAGCTATGTTTTTACTGAGCCCATTAAATTGACTGATGATTTGCAACTATTGTTACCACATATGCTTATCACTGTTTGATAAGCGCGTTCATTGTGATCCTTACTGGAAGCAGAGTTTCTGTTGTGACTTTCTTGAGTGCCTACACTGTCATTTCATTATAATGTTACAATCATAACAATATGGTGAGGTTCTCTACTTAAAAAATAATTTTGGAAGGGACAATAAGGACCATCTAGTCCAACTCCCTGTGATGTAAAGATATGCAGCTGTCTCATGTGGGGATCAAACCTACAACCTTGTTGTTATCAGCACCACACTCTAACCAACTGAGCTATCCACTTGGATTGGGCTATTCCCATCCAGCAGTGCTGTGCCCTTGACAAAATACCATGCAAGTATGCTAATACTACTCATCATGCTAAGGACCCAGCATATGTTTTGCCAACTACCCATATTATATATTTACATGCATAGAGAGGCACGTCTCTGAATACTAGCTACTGGGGATCCTAAATGGGGAGTGCTGGAGGAGATGAAGAGCGCCAATGAAAGAATAGATCAGGCATCCCACCCAGCTGTGGGTGGGATGCCAGATCTATTCATTGATGAACCTCTCGTCTATCTGTTGAGAAACAACAGAGAAGCAGACCTGGAATATTAGTTTCAGAGGCCAAGGTTATCCAGGGCTCATTGCTGTTCAGTCAACTGAGCTACAAGAAATGGTTAACCCATTCTCTGATACTACTTGTATACATTTATTTATTCATTTGGAGTATTTAATTTGTCCCTCCTGGAAAAATTCATGTGTATGCCCATGAATGGTATGTATGTGGATGCATTTTAAATTGGACTTGTGTGAAAGGTATGTAGCATGGACAAAAAATGCACAACTAACACATATTTGCATACACAAAACCTTTGCTGTATCAGAACCCACAATCAATCTATATACAGATGATCAGCACTATCAACTGACAGTGATTATCACAAGTTTTGAGGATGGAGAGAAAAACTGATTGTAGCATCTGTTTCCCATTTTACACTTAAGGACAACCATCACAGACAGTGCTATACATCTGTTCAAAGGGCAGATCTTCATGCATAGCAACATCTCTGGATGATGACCTGAGTGATCAAAGTACTGAAACAGCCTCTAGTATTAATGTTTCAGCATGTTTATCACTCTCTTCAGAAATGGAATCTTTCTTTCTTTTTTTAAAAAAGGTTTCTTTTAATAATAATAATAATAATAATAATAATAATAATAATTCAAAACTGCTTGCCACATTTCAAATGAAAAACTGCCCACCACTATATGCTGTTGTATGATAGTATCAGCACATTCAGTACGATTTTGTTCTTGCATCATTAATTCATTAGTTCGTAAAACTTGTATCCTACTTTTTTCTGACTATATACTTAAACCAAGAAATAATAGTGTCATCTGTGGCAATGGCTGTCAATCACAATAATAATGCCAGCAATGACAGCACAATGCAGTGAAAATTGGAATAAATATTCACACTTAATGGCTTTTTCAAAAAATAAAAAGGTGTTTCACCCTACTCTTCCAGCACATGAGTTATTCCAGATTAATTAGCCCAAAATTTTAGGATGTGGATTTGTGTGTGGTGTGATGAATATCAGTATTCACACAATGCTTTCTTCTGTATGTGAACCATCTTGACCCAAATGCCCAAGCTGTAATAGGAAAACTCATGATAATAGATATGGCCAGAAACATTTCCTGTGGCAATACTGTTTTCTGCCATGATGACTGCAGGATGTGCCACAGTTGTTGAGTGATACGACAGTTTACACATTACTTTTCTCCATGCAAATGTGGTTTCTTCACAACAAGAAGAAAATAATTTGTTTCCAAGAGTTGTTTCCCAAATGAATAGATTGTGCACTGTAGTCCCATTGACTTCTTCCATTTCCTTTGACTCTGGTGTAAAAGGACATGTGGTTCCCACTACCCCCCCCTTCACAAAACATCCAGGGCGAGCTGTGACTCTGTGACCTGGGAATTGCGGTTTGTGTCCTTTAGTCCTGTTATAGATTCTCAGAATGTTCTCATTGATTTTAATGGAAGAAGGCTTTGTTATAACTTTGGAATTATTTTGGGTTAAAGGTAAAGGTAAAGGTACCCCTGCCCGTATGGGCCAGTCTTGACAGACTCTAGGGTTGTGCGCCCATCTCACTCTATAGGCCGGGGGCCAGCGCTGTCCGAAGACACTTCCGGGTCACGTGGCCAGTGTGACAAGCTGCATCTGGCGAGCCAGCGCAGCACACGGAACGCCGTTTACCTTCCCGCCAGTAAGCGGTCCCTATTTATCTACTTGCACCCGGGGTGCTTTTGAACTGCTAGGTTGGCAGGCGCTGGGACCGAGCAGCGGGAGCGCACCCCGCCGCGGGGATTCGAACTGCCGACCTTTCGATCGGCAAGCCCTAGGCGCTGAGGCTTTTACCCACAGCGCCACCCGCGTCCCTTTATTTTGGGTTAGCTTATTCCAACTCAAAAAAGTGAGGCAGAGGTTGGAGTTAAAATGCTGCTGGGAGTTTACTTCCATTTAAAGAGAGAGAAATCCCAAACAGAATATTTTTGATAGGAACATCATGAGCTGTGCATTGTTTCCTGAGATGCTGAAACAGCTCTAGAGAACCTTTTTGAATTGATGGATAAACAGGG